GGGAAAGGAAGCACATTCGGTAGGTTTGAAAGGTGGGCCATATTTAGTCTTGAGTTGGCTCTCTTTGGTCCTTCTGTGTCCTTGCATGCTCATACTTCCTAGGGCAAAGGCATTTATTTCCATTGCACAAGTCTGTTCACATTTTACAATGATCTCACAGTGTCATTCAGGGACAGAGGCACTGAATGAATCAGAGTAAAAAGGGGATAAGTATTGTCGACGCAGGTGATTTTTCCTCTAGTAGGCACAGGTGAAACTCTCTCTTCCTACCAATGGACTTTGTGGTACAGTTTTCTTTGTCTTCTGGACTCATACTCCAAAGATAATAGAGGGAATGTAGTTAGAGATTAGAGTTAATGCAGTACTCCTTGAACTCTGTTGTGAATGTGAGGTCTCTATTCTCTATAAAATGCAGTAAAACATTTAAAAATTCTAGAAAACTGAAATGTAAAACAGACCCACAAATTACAACCCCCCCCCACTTCTTTGTTATTAGATTCAACAGACACAAAATTAGTTGGTCAAATTGCCTTACAAGTTTCTAAACACATACTATCCATGTCTGTACTTACTTTGTCACAGACTGGGAACAACTAGCAGACCAGCACCGGTTGGGTGAACCACACTTTCAAAGTAGATTTAGGGCACTTCTACCTATCCCAGATAAGAAGTGCTATTTTCAAATAGTAACTCAGTAAATTTTTGGGGGTGATTACTTGAATTTAGAAAATACTGAATATAGAGGGGGGAATTAAAAATCTATTAATGACTTGAAAACTAACATAGAGAATGAATGAATATCATTCTTGGTAGAAAATAAACATAAAGTTAATGCTTGCTATGTTATAAAGAAGATCTGTGCAGATATGTACTCTAAGGCCTAAAAAACAGAGCTTTTTAAAAATGAATGAATTAAAATTCCCTTCCTCAACTATATTATTCACAGAGAAAAGGCTTTCTCCCACCCCTGGCTCTGTCTAAATATAAGTAAACACCCTAGGAAACACTGAGCCGGATTCCTGTCCTTTATGTAAAGAAGCAACTATTGCATGTTGCTTCTTAATTGTTTGTCTGCACGCTGCCAATTGGTCTCGAGTCTAATTTTTGGAAGGTAATTCCATTCACATTCACAGATCCTGGGTTCTTCAGACCTTTTGAGCTTTTCCCCGTGATAAGAGACACTACATGAGATAGGCAGTCAACTGGGATTAGAATTCAATGTGTCGGCTAACTCAGAAATCCCAATGCAGAATTTAGCACTCCTGATCAACAGACACTCTCCAGGGAACTTGGCCTCCGGAAATCAATTGTTGGATTGTATCCATCTAAGCTAAGAGTGGGTTTGATGGTGGCTGTTTTTATTTTCTTTTACCAATAGAGTGATAATGTTTATTTCATAAGGATAGATGATAAAAGACTATTTATTTCAAAAATAGTATCAGTTCTGTTGAATGATTTTTGCATTCCGCAGGATTAATTTTCAAGACAATAAAATTGAGAGAGCTGAAATCACTATAAAAGGAGCATAGTACCTTAAGTTTTTTGGAATGAAATGAAATGTGCACCCATTTAAGATTTTCATTTACAATATTTACAATATTCATTTACAATATCAGGAAAAAAATAAATTCTCTTGGCTTAATGTATCATGTACAATAACATTGCAGGTGAGTACAAGCTGAAAGGTAAGTGACATTGGATTTCTTCTCTGGTTAGAAAGAGGTACGGTGATAGTTGGTCTTCATAGTGCACATTAAAAGTTGTGATTCTGCTGGTTTCTCATTTAACGTTGCAATAATTCATTATGACAAGTAACAGACTGTAGATAATAGCGTTTCAATGGTTTATACTTTCATGCTTCTATGTTGTGTTCCTGTCTTACAGACGTTTATAGTATTGAATAAAGGGAAGGCCATCTTCCGGTTCAGTGCCACCTCTGCCCTGTACATTTTAACTCCCTTCAATCCTCTTAGGAAAATAGCTATTAAGATTTTGGTACATTCATATCCTTTTTCAAGTGATTAATATTAACTGTTTGCACATAATCTATAAGTACTTTGTAGCTAAATATAAAAGTTGGGAAACGTCCATATTCTATAGCTATTACTCTCATTTTGCATTTTCACTTGTCATATAAGCCCTATTCTTAAACTTGATTAACAACATAGATGTTACTGAAATTTACAAAGTCTTTAACATTACATATATACATATATACACATATGTATGTATATTTTTATCTTTCTAAAAATACATATATGTATTTAATCCTACAAATCTAACATAAGATAGCCGTATTTATCATTACCATCTTTGCACAGAGTTTGTGATTGTGTAGAATTTGCAGTGAATAGTGATATAATAACAAAGAAATCTACTTCCAGACCCAAGTTTAGCCATACCTATAATATAAAACACCTTAATATATCTTGTAATAAACCTTAAAGATAAGCATTAT